CATCGATCATTTTATGTATACCTACTACCTTAATTTTAAATATTGGAATTTTGAGAGTGATCTCCATCAACACGCACGTCTAGACTTTTGCAACGTTTGGGTCGCAAGAAACTCACCGCAACCATGTTTTGAAAATGACAATCGATATCCACCCATTATTTGGTAAAGCCAACCCACATGCATATGAAGACAATGCTTAATAGAATTATCCATACATGTGACCTCGCTGTTATAAATACACACATGCAGGGTATCCAAAAGAATCCGCACTCATCAAGTTCTCAAATTCAAAGCATTAGTACGTAGCCAACACCCAGCAGTAGCAATGGTGGAGATCTTTAGGAAGACCGTCGAGAAAAATGAGATTGAGAGAAGAAAATTGAAGCTTCGCGGTTCAGAATTTGACAAACTTCCAACTGGGGCGTTCGAGGTTACAGATAATCAGAGTAATAGAACATGGAGCTGTTACAGAAAATCGTCCAATGGTCAGTACTATCTCCATGTTGAAGAATGGGATCATTTTGTGAAAAGAATTGAAGGCAGCAGGAAGATCAGCCTTCACAAAGAAGATGATCATTTCAGCCAGGGACCTCCGTCATACGAATTTAAAGACTGAAATTGAGAAAGTGGTTGTTCATATTTTTATACTTGCTTTTAAGTATTTCCTAGTTAAGTGTCTTTTTAGAGAATAAAAAATGTTTTTTTCATGGTTGCTCTACGCTTAAAAACATTAATTTAGGATTGAGAGAAATCAAAAATATTATCAATAATATTTTTGTTAATTTCCATTCTAAATTAATGTTTTTAAATGTAATACAAACTGAAAAATAATATTATTTTTTTAGTATAATCCAAGATACTATACATTAAATCTATAATAAACTAATTTATCCTTTCTATAACTATGCAGAGAGATGTTGATTTTGTATTGTCTGCTGTCTAGAAAGTAATGGTGTTTCTGTAAAATATTATGCTATTAATATTATAAAATATTAATAAAAGTTTCAACTCTTTTATATATTGAGAATGTAGTTCCAAATTTTTCACAAACTAATTAATTACTTTGCATATTATATTTTAATACGAGGTTTAAGAAGAATATATATTTGCATCACAAGTGTCGTCGAAGAAAGCAATAACCACCACATGGAAGACTCTCTAACTTTAAATTGAAAAGAAAAACACTAACAATCAAGTAAATTTGGGTTGTCGGCTGTTATCCCATCCCCTACTTTTAGTAACACGTTCAGCCAAAATTTACCGAAAAAAAAAAAACATGTTCAGTCAGACGGCACAGATCTTTCTAAATTCATATGTACTTTTATGACAGAATAATTAAACCCACCCACAAAGTATAATGATAAGGATAGATTTACACTTAAACAAAAACGAGAACAAATTTACTTACATAGTTTTTGATTTGGACAAATCATCTTAAATTTAACATATAACATCATTTGATATTAACAATTCGTTAATTTGATATTATTTGATATTAGCAATTCATTATTAACGACATAACAAATTACTAAATTATTAATATCAAATGACGTTATACGTTAAATTTAAAATAATTTATCAAAATAAAAAATTTAGTGAGTGAATTTGTTTCTTTTTTTTTTTTAATTTAGGAGTAAATCTATTTCTACCATTATACTTAAAAGAGGTAGATATAGGTATTTTGCTTACTTTTATTTTTGTTTGGTTCAGTCAAACTTTTTATCTTACCGCGCACAACACAATCGCACATGACATTCGCGTACTATCTTGGGTAAGGTGCGCGCGCCAAAAACCTTGCCCCTTGAGCTTGCGAAGTTATACTAGGAAAAAAAAAAAAAAAAAAGACAAAAAATCTAACGAAACACTAGAATAGAATATTCATTCGTTC